AAGTCTAGATACTCATGTTCCAACCAACCTCCTCTTTGCTGTGCTTACAAGTTGCTGAGGACCACCTCCAAAGTAGCATCTTCTTCTTTGGTGGAACACAGTTGTATTTCTCAGGCAGAAAGAGACAAATAAACAAACAAACATCCTAGTTGGAAAGCATTTCTGGAAATTCCTCATGTGAGAAGGCAGGGAGAAGTGAGGGCCTCAAACGAACCATGTTTGCTAGGGGAGAGCGCTGTGCACCATGGGGCAGCCTTGGGGGGGTGGCAGGAGGGAGGATGGGCAGAAGGCACACTCGCACCAGAGTGGAGAGGGACGGCAGGAGGGAGGAAAGACTGCAGGCAAGAGGCACGTTCGCTCCAGAGTGAAGAGAAACGGCAGGGGGCGGCTGTCGGGTCAAGTGGGGATTGGAATGTGTATTGCGCTGATTGGATTCGGAAAGTGGAATGTCTGCGGTTTTGCGGTTAATTAGCGGCGCTCCGGGGCGGTAAAAAAGGTGAGATTGTGAGCCAAGCCCTCGTAGGAGGGGGAGGACAGATAGGGGGTATAAAAACCTGTCAGACCTTGCTTCGGGGTTCCTCCATTGCTGCGGGAGGGACCCACCTTTGCAAACGTGCCCAATAAAAACTTCTGTCTACTGGATAACCGAACCCGTGTCTGTCGTTTTCTGACACTCATATCAAAGTAGTTTCCTCCTGCTTCTTTTCTCTATTTTATATCAGTTCTCTGGCCGTGAAACCCATTTCAGAGAAGAACTTATCTTCACAACAGTCTTGTGAGATAGAACCAGCAGGGATATATAACCTGTATGCACATTAGTTTTCTGCAAAGAATTCTTAAAATTTGTATTCTTGATCCCTGAAATCATATATGACCCCCAAATCTGTTTTTTGCACCTCTCCTAGAGCTTCTCTAAACATGATTGTTGGAATGTAGTATTGAGGTTTTCTACCACTGCGTTAAAGCTGTAGTATTTAAAAGTAAAATCTCTGCTGATGATTATGGAGACATGCCCCTCTGATTCCCTTGGCAGCAAGACATAAGTGGCTTACCTTTTCCTGGGGTGATTTTTTTTACTTCCCAAACTATTGAAAAGCCCTGATATTTTCTGATAGTCTCCATCCAAGTTCTGCTATAGCACAAACAAAAGCAAACAACCTGCCAACCCAACAACTATATATATAAAAAGGTCTTCTCCAATGCAAGAAAACAAACCAAACATCTTAGCCGTGCCCATTTGCATCATTATCCCAAATCTTGGGATAGTCTCCAACATTGAAGAGCCTTTAAATCCCAAAAGGTTGCCTGCTCCTGTCTTAGAGATTTCTGATATATACTTTTGTGTAATAATGTTCTGGGATTACCTTTGTTTATTATTATTTATGTATGTGTGAGATTTGTATAGTACCTTTCCTCCAGGAGCTTGAGGTAGGATCCACCTTCATTTTAATCCTCAGCAGCAACCAGGGAGGTAGGTGGGACTGAGAGAGATTGGCCCAAGTCACCCAGTGAGTCTCCTTGGGTGAGGTTGGAGTTGAATTTGGGTCTCTCCAATTCTACATCAATGCCTTAATCACTACATCACAAAGGTTTTCACAATGATTTTGGATGTACATAAATAATGCAACATGCAAATGTATGGCATGAACCACTGAACAGCTAACATCAATTGTGCCTTGGGGGAGCCCCCATTTTTGTATTTTCCCATGGTTGCTCCTTAGCACTTAATATTCAAAAGCAGATAGAAGTTCTATATAGCCATTGTAAGTTTCCGTTGGTAGATCTCTCCCTTCTGCAACATCCACATGAGAGAACAATAGTCCCAGTGGTGATACACTTCTGGGTCCAAGTACACTACCCAGAGAGAGGGAGAAGAGCAATAGAACTGGCAGAAGACTAACTGGTAGTGTGTAGAGTAGAGGGTTGCTAGAGTCTGGCTGACCTAAGAAAGGAGGCTCAGAATAGAGATGGTCTAGTAAAAAGGCTAGAGATGTGTGAGAGAGAGAGCTAGCAAGACAGGGCTAGCCAAGAAAAGTGAGAGACAGTGCTAGATAAAGGAACATCAGGGGTTGGGGCAGACAAAACGTCCTGCTAGGTGTGTGGGAATCCAGACTATTGGCCTGCTTCTGCCTGAGTAAAATCCAGAAAGGCTTGGCATTGGCAACCCTCATCAGTTATGGAGACAGCATGCCTTAAGCGAACCCCAGGCTTGAGCTGAAAAGGCTAGTGCAGCACGTGACAGTGTGGATTGGTTATGTACTGCTGTTAAGGGTTTGATGTAAAGACAACTAAAAGTGCTCATAGGATTGGAAAAATCAAGAAGTGGGAGAACAAGAGCTTGCTCCTCCCAAGACAAGAATGTAAATTTCAGGAAAAGTGGCAAGGGTCACATTTGAAAATTGAGATCTGTCAGCTCTAATATAGATTTGGGAATGGGAAGAACAAAAATCTATTATGCAAATACATTAAGAAAATGAGCCAAGGGGAACAGACTGGCATAGTGCCAAAGGCACAGAGGAAAACAGACCTGGTGGAGCACGCATATCTCTGCTTCAGTTTAGGACAGTGTTGTCTAAACTTGGCCACTTTAAGATGAGTGGACTTCAACTCCCAGAATTCCCCAGCCAGATTTTAGCCCCAAACAGAAGCCTGATCATTCAGCAAAGGCCTTATCATATCCCCGAGAGAATGATTGAAAGAAGGTTCAGTCTAAGCATGACTGGACAGTCCCTGAGTAAATTATGTTTGCCCACTGTACTTGTGACCAAGGCTAGTAGAGAGGCTTGGTTTGGCATAGATCTAAATCTGAATCAGATTACCCAGTGCCAAGAATGGATGACTCACTCACTGGATAAACTAGGAGAGATGGGTACATGTCAACCCTGAATCTAATGAAGGGCTATTGGCAGATCCCTTTGGAAATAACTTCAAGGAAAAAGAATGCGTTCAATATCCCATGGGGACTATTCTATTTTGTGTGGATGCTATGTGAATTTCATGGGGCTTTGCAACCTTCTAGAGATTGATGGATTATATCCTCTTGGGCCAAGGAAAGTTTTGTAAAGCCTTCTACAAAAACTTTATTGACTGCAGTTTGACTTAGAAGAAACATCTGCCCCACCTTAGAACTGTCATAACCAATCTCTGGAGGACCAGTGTCAAGTCCTTGGCAACTGCTTATAAGCAAAAAGCAAGATTCTCACAGTGTCTTCTTTAATCAGATTAAATGAAAGTGAAAAGAGAACTAGACTATAGAAATCTTGGAAAGTTGATACGCTTAGTTTGGCACCCAATTTATCTTGAAGTTCATTCTGCTGGAGCTTCCTCTTGCTAACCATCCATTGATGCACTAGGGAGGTGGCTACCAGTTTTCATTATAAAGAAAAAATATACAGATCCACTGTGCTTCCACTATTTTGCAAACTTCCATCCTCTTTACTGGCCTCTTACTGGCTTGACCATTAATTCAGATAAATGTTGTCCTCAGTGAACCAAATTTTCTTGGCTATATAGGGAATGTGTGAAAAATTGGATTCTGTATTCTCACACAATATGTTAGAAATCAGAGAGTTCCAGTGGAAACAGCTTATCTGGGTCCCTGATAGCCATGATTCAGATCTGGTTATGGGATATAAACAGCATTGGTTGCTCATTGGGACATGGATGGGACCAGGAGATGTGCCTGAGATCAGACATCTCAGCAGCTTTTAGTACCACCAACCATGTATCTTGCTGCACAGGCTGGGATTTGGAGGCACTGTTTTGCAATAGTTCCTCTCCCACCTGAGTGGGTGGTTTCAGGTTGTAGTTATGGAGGAACAGTGCTTGAGGACTTGGTTCTCCAGTGAGAAGTACCTCAGGGTTCAGTTGTTTCCCCCATGCTATTTAACATCTGTATAAAGCTGGAGATCAATTTGGGATGAGATGCACTTAGCTGTGCATTGCCAATCTGGGGAAATCCAAAGATGCTGTGAAAAGCTTGGACTGGTACCTTGATGGGGCAAAATAAGCACAAATGAAATCCCTGCAAGACTGAACTGCTATACATTGGTCCTGGTAGTTATTCTGGACAGGATCATGCTCCCCCTGAAAAAGCTCTTGCACCACTCATCCTGGATTTAAATAACAGGTAGAGACTATGGCCAGCATGGCCTTTGTCCACCTTTGGCTGGAATACCAGTTATGACCCCACCTGGACCAGAATCCTCTGGCATTGGTAAATCACACTTTAATCACCATCTGACTGGATTCCTGTAATGTCCACAATACAGAATAGTTTTTGGAGAAATTACAATTGGTGAGATTATTCATTGGTCAGTCCCACAATGAGATTATTGGTGGATCAGTCCTGCCATTGCAAGGTAACACCTCTCTTGAACTCACTGCACAAGTTACCAATAGGCTTCCAGGCCCAATTCAAAGTGCAGATAATGACCTATATAGTCTTATATGGTAGAGGACCAGGTTACATTAGATGCCAGAATTGAATCTGCCTGTCCAGTGAAAACATCTCAGAAAGGTCTGTTAAGAGTCCCCACTCCCTCGAAGTGAAATAGATAGAAAACAAAGTTTGTTTTGTACGTTTCACCTTTGTAATAAACATTTTCTCAAACTGGAGTTGACCTGTGCCCCATCTGAGACTGCCATCCCAGAATCCATGACAGTCCCCACAGGGGAATCAATGCTTGGAAGTTGAATCTACTTTGCATGTAGAAAACCCAGCTTCAGTTTCTGGCATGTTCTGATGAAAAGGATCAGGTAACAGCTAAAGGGAAAGACCTCCTACTGTTGCAGAGTTGGCTACTCAGGTGGATGTACTGCAGAAGACAGATGAGCAAAACTTTCCATAGATCATGTAAAGCTGGGAATGATGCAGTTGCTTGGGCCCATCTTGCCAGTTATGGCTCTAATAAGTTGTCAGGATGCTAGTTGTATTCACAGTGAATATTATAGAAATAGCAAACGTATCATATCCATTCTCATCAGTTTTTTTCTCACAGGCCCAGGTAGCAGGAAGAAATCTTCAGGACCCTGTGGCCATCTGGGATCCTTGGCTGCTCTCAAATATGCTGTGGTTGGTCTCTACTTGCTTGTGTTCCTGATCTTCGTGGGACTTTTTATCCTAGCAGGTAAGAATCAGACCTGTATTGGAGGGGGCCTGACAAAAAAGAGAGTTCCAAAACATTTTGTGGAGCAGGAGTGAGTATGTCAGCTGCTAGAGCACAAGGGAACAACTAAACGCTCCTTGTCTAGCAAACAGATTGGTTAATAAGAAGGCTTTCAAGTTACAGTTGGTTTAGCATATAGGAAATCAGGAAAATGATTGCTGATTCTAATAAATTGTGTAAACATTTGATAATTATACTATTTTAATGTGACTATGCATTAGAGACATTCTGCATTTTTGGATCTTCTTCGGGGATATGATGCTAGGGTTGTTACGATGAGCTCCTTCACTTCAAAATTTACCGAGCACCTCTAGGTACAGACTACATCTGCAGTGAGAAAAACATATCCTCCAACCTTTCACAGGAACAATTTCATTATGAAATAATACCCATGTTCTCATCCCAAGGATTGCTGCCCAGTTCTCCACATCTATTCTGTACTCATGCTTGATGTTTTCTCCTTATGTTGCTACAGCTGATTATGCTTTGTTTTAAAAGCCAAGAATGTATCTACTCTTTATATTTATGTGAAAGGAATCATTATGCTCTGGTTTGATACAAATAATTCACAAAGGGCCCCACCAGCACATAAAACAATATGAGGTTATGCAGTATATGTTTCTTTAAAGTCCGTATCCAGATAAACACTTGTCCCTTTGGAAGGGACGTAGGTCTTTGTATGGAACACACTCAAGTGTGCTACATGAATGCTCAATGCCCAATGCTCTTTTGCTTTGTTTCTTCCCCATCCCCCGCTTAATATAATTAATAATTACATTTTTTCATAATTGTATTTTGTATCTAGGAATCCATATTTGCTTAAGTCTGACCGATTAATATGTTTCCCTCCCCCATTTGAAAGAATTACAGAAGTAGAAAGTAAGAGAAACACCTTATCTGCTGCAGTCCTGAGAGGTCACTGGGCAAACAGGCTAGAATCATGCAACACACTATAACCCATGGTTTGCTCAATCATGGCTAAACCATAAACCATGGTTTCCAAATCACAAGGTGAGTGTTCACACATTACCTGTGCCAAAAGGAAACAAATCACATTATGACCTGATCTTAGCTTCCTATGAAAAGCTGAATGTTGACAAGATTCCTTGAAAGAAAGCTGCATTCTGACAAATAACAGCAAAATCAAATCATCCTGTAAACTTAAGAGCAGTGGTTCTTAAGCTGTTTGACTCAATTATCCCTTTTCCTGATCTCAAATAATGTCATTACCCCTACAAAAAAAACCTCCCAGACTCTGTTTTCAACAGTGGCAGTCCCAAACGGGATCCTCTACTCAGAAACAAGTAGTTACAAATTGCTCTATTACCCCCAGCTTAAGAACCACTTAAAAGCTTTCCACTAAATGGGAAAAATTAGGACAAAATAGGCAGTGATTTATTAAAGAGGTAAGGAACAGAAAATAAGGCTTGTTGTTTCCAAATATTCCAAGTCCAGTTCATCACCATCCTTGTCTCTATAACCTGAAACCTGCTAAAGGAGATCTGTTCTTGTCACCGCCCAAAAGGATTTGGGACTGAGGTACAGATAGATAAAGCCATAAAGAAATAGCTCAGTAATTATCATCAGACTGGCAAGGATGGGTCAATTCCAATCTTCAGGCAATGCACTGAGTGAGATTTGTGGGTGGCCACAAACCAGCCCAAAGAGATTTTGGGCTCCATCTTTGGGTTTGAGGGTTGGGAAGCTGCCACTATAGCACGTTTCCAGACTATCTGGAAAGATGGAAGTCAAATCATTCTATTTCTGCTGAGAATATGAGCCCTAGCCCCAAAACCACTGGGACTGTAAATATTGTATGATGACCCATTGGAACCATCAGCTTGTATTTTCGTCTTATTTCCCCTGTCCTGAAATCTTATTCCAGAATGCTGTCAGGGACACAGAGGCATCTGTTGTTGCCACTGTTGCATCGGAGCATTAACGGCCAACTTTTTGTCAAGCACATCACAGTAAAGCCCAAACAGAATCCAGAGTCCACATTCAATATACGCTTCGCTCCTCTTAGAGTAGTTTGCCTCAAACTTACTATATCAAGAACAGTCATCAACACAGTGTGGAGGGAAGGAGTGTTGTTGGCCAAACTGTATGCCAAAGTAGACCCCCAAATCAAGAATTGGCATCTAGAGGCATATGCTGAGGCCAATGTACTAGCAGGATTCATGGATGACTGGAGCCCAGAAACTAACAGTTGACATTAAATCTGACAATGAAAAGATTGAAATTTTAATGCACAATAGTCGGTTGCTGACCTCACCAACAGGTCCTTCCTGCTCTTTTCTTCCTGTCAGTATGGGCCACTGATTTTTTGCCACTGCAGAAACTGCCCATTTATGTGAATAAAATAAATAAATAGGATCAGAGAGGCAAGAGCCAACAGACTATGAAGATGTGGAGAAGTAACCATCTATGAATAAGTTCCTCCATGCTAAATCATGGTTTGTGGCTCACCAAATGAGTCATGCTAAGCCATAGGTCATGGTTCACAATGAAAATAGGTGGGTTCACACAATATGCTATGCCACCATGGTTTTTGGACAAAACTGAATTGATGTGCACCCCCAGACTGCAATGGACTGTAGTCCCATCTCCTACCAGCTGAAGACACCATTTTCTGGCCCAGATAAACCATCTATTCACAGCACTGTTCCTTTCATCTCTGCCTTTACTTCAAAGCTCTTGACTTTCATTCAGGTCAGGCCCAGCCTGGCACCTGCTGTGCTGGGGTTGCAGCTCACAGTATTCCCAGCCAGGTTGGAGGATGCTGGTAGGGCAGACTGATTCAGGCTGCTTTTGACTCCAAAAGCTCTTAGCCCATCTGACAGAAATGAAGATGATAAGTATATCCCTTGTGTCATTTCCCCTGTGGGTTGGCAATGGGATACTCAGGCAGGACTAGGGCCAGTGCAGGATCTGGGTGGTCATTTCCCCTCCTTCTTGTCCTTCCCATCTGTGCAGGGGAGTTAACGGTTATTAGATGGCCATGGGATGGCAGGTTTCCTGGGCTCTCCATTTCATTTGAGGGATTGGTTTCACATGTTTGCTTTCTCTTATGGAAGCCCTCCCCTTGCCTTTCTGCATTCTGCCACTTTAACTTTATATAATCCTCTTATTTCTCCTTGTATTTCTTTTGTTATTGTCCACTGTGATGTTTCTTTTGAAATATCATTGCACTGATTTACCTTATTCATGAAAAATCTTTGTGTTTCTGTGGAACTGGATACTGAGCTGAAAGACAAGATGGCACCATCTTCTATAGCCAGACTGGCAACCAAACCTTATTTCAGTCCTGGCAATTTTCTTCTATAAAATCTGGAAGTGTCAGGACAGAGTTAGGGGTATACACAGTTCTTTTCCCTGATACCTTCCAGCTATTGCCTGCTCCTTACCATCTGCCATCTCAGGCAGGTGGCTCGCTCTGTCTAACAGCAGGACCAACTGTACTTCAGTACATGTGCATTCTTAAAAATTCATCTAGTTACCCTTGCTGTGGACAGGGAGAGAGTGACCCAGGAAGGCCTGCTGGCTTAGGTGGGAGTAGCTCCCCGCTCTTAGAGGGGGAAAAAGGTTTGCTCTCCTCTGCTTCCACACTCCTTCCCTGAAGGTGGGGGCCCTGCCACTCGCTCACCAGTCACGTAGAGGGTTGGCTATCCTATACTGTAAGCATTGACCTAAAGCAGTGTTGTCCAAACTTGGCCACTTTAAGATGAGTGGACTTCAACTCCCAGAATTCCCCAGCCAGCCATGCTGGCTGGGGAATTCTGGGAGTTGAAGTCCACTCATCTTAAAAGTGGCCAAGTTTGGACAACACTGACCTAAAGGGTCTGTTGAGGTGGCCACAGCTATTTAATTTATTTTTTGTTGTTTTAATCATACCATGGATGTTTTGATTTTGGGCAGTTATGTAAACTGCCAAGAATTGTGAGATTGCAGCAGGAAAAGAGATAAAACAAGAAACTTTCCAGCGCATCAGCCTGACAGTTTCCTCGGAGCAAAGCATATGAGGCAGCTGGCTACTTTGGCAAGCTGTTCTCCAGGGCTGTGCTTCCAAGGGCCAGGAAGCTGTGGGTCAGAATGGCACTGGGTGGGGGTCTGGTGTTAATTCATTTCCCATCCTAATCTGCCGTTCAGATTAACAGCTTCATTTTACCTAATGGAGTAATGAAGGGATGAGGGTAAAATGTTCTGCACCTTCTTGTTTCTTTCAAAAGCGGCTTTTTTTTTTTTTTTTGCAACATCTGATTGTAATCAGCATCAAGACAGGAACTCATTCCCCCCAAAGAGAAATTATGGTGATGCCAAATTATTATTTTTTTGTTTGCTTTTTCTCTCTCCCCCACCCCACTATGATTTGTCCCTTGAGGAAGGTGAATGAAATTAAATATGAAAACATCCGCCCACCCACCTCCCTAAAAATACTCCTTCCAGGGCGGAGGATGAAATTGCAATGTGCCTGGAATAGAAGGGCCTGTTTTCCTGAGAGGAGAAACATGAACATGAATCACCAACTAAGTCATTACAGTGGATTTATTTAGACTTACTATTGAAATATGTAGAATTGCAAGAAGAGCTCTTTTATAGCAATAGCTAGACCATACTAGTGTTCTTCTCAACCATCACAGACATACCAGCCAGAGCTGATGGGAGTTACAATCTCACACATCTGAAGTTTAGAAAAGCTGGCCTAGATGTTTTTGGTCCATTTATTTCAATACCGCATATCTGATTTCAAGGTTGCTGAGGTCTTTCCCACTGCACCTACTGTACGTGCAGGCAGAAGGGAGGGGATCCATGAACATTGCTTTGAAGAAAAGTTGTTGACTGGGTGGCCATTAGCAGTAACTAGCCACAGTGGCTCTATGCTCAGAGGGAGCACTTCAGTGAAGAATTGCATTGGAAAAGAGAGGGGTGTTCTTCGATATTTAGCTTACAGTATGTGCTTT